GCATACAATTGTGACCGGTGTATGTCAATCCCATCCCTTATAGATAGCTACTTTTAATACCTAGACAGTAGTGGTTTTAAGCTAGAAAGTTTCTGAATAGTTTCAAAGCCTACACAGGAGGACGAGGGGCGCGTGAGGGAACGAACCTCTTCACGCCCCAGCCGTTGCGAAGCCATCAGACGGCGAGCACGGGTAACTCGCCGCCCAGAACCAGACCCGAGCGTACGGCGCGTCGCGTTCCGTGCGCGCCTCAAAGGGCCATCAAACCACGACAGATGGGGCCCAGTAGGACTGATACCCGATTCGGAGCCGCGGAGAATTTATTCGTATTCATATTATATTCATATCTTTATTTGCATTCATTTCAGAATTTTTCAAATTTCATATTTAAATAAAATTTAGTCAAACTGATGATGCATAAGGTCAACGATTTTTCAAACAAATAAAAACAATAAAATCTAACGTCATCATGTCACTTGTAGCATCTAGTAAACAATTATGTAAATAAGTAATAAGTCAAGCATTCAATTTGAATTAAATCATGTCACGTTTAATATCAAGTCAACTTAAAGACTTAAAGGGTTCATCAGCTCGAAGAGCAGGAGTAGGAACGGGGTGGTTTCTAGTCAGTAAGAGTCTGACACTCCGCCTCACCCAAGCCGAGAGAAGTCATTGAATGATTTTCCCCCTCAGAAAAAAATCCTTATTACACGGGACTCATAAACCGATAAAAAGCGGGTGTGACATTGTAGATGTGTACATTTTGTTGTTGCTTTAGTACTAAAAGAACAGAATAATAATAATGAAGTTTTTTGCCATGCGTTTTCCTAGAAATCAGTCATATTTACTCAGTATTTATGACGTTTCATTGCGTCATATAATAAACTTTATTATTACAATAACACATGTATGAAAATGGTTAATATTCGCTAATATCGACTTTGTATACGAATTAATAATGTTGAAAATGCAATAGCAAAATTATTTATGGCATTGCTATCCAAATGTCCACCTTGTTACAATTAAGTTAGATCATATTATTAAATAATTATTCAAAGTAAAAGAACAAAATAATGTTACGAACGTAAACGAACCAATGTAATATGTGGTTATTTAACAATATTTTAATTGAAATGAGGAAAAGCATAGACAAATGTTTTTTCAAATGTAATCATTGAATACCTGAGCTGCAAACAACCTAACGGGTTACGGGTCCGGAGTCTGGGATGCAGGAAAGCAGGACTACTTCTGCTTTCCTGCGTTCCTAAGAACGAGATGGTTTTTAATCAGTAAGAACCTCACACTATTGTATGAGGTTTGGGTGAGGCGTAAGGGATTACGCCTCACCCAAAGCGGGTGAAGTCATTGGACGATCCCCCCCCCCCCCTTAAAAGGGATCGAGCCTATCGCCAATACTGGGAATAAATCTAGTCTCCGTGTTATAACATTAACCAAAAATCGCCCATGCCCGATATGAGACTCAAAACCGAGGCTCAAATTAGAAAAACCTGTACAAAGGAATGACTCAACGGAGGAAACGGCCTCTGTCGAGTGAAGTTACCAGAGGCCCAAGCCAGGGAGGATTTATTTATTTTTTATTACAGAAAACTCTACAGCTTATTTAGTAAATGCTACATCTATAATAATGACAAGGCACGGAAACTTAAGCCAATAACAGTTTTTCAGCATGCGTCAGGTAAAAGTAGGAGAGTGAGCAATATAAAATAAAATCAAACAATCAACAAGGATTGGGCGCTGAATCCTCAAATCTCATACTCAAACCCATTGGGATTTCAGGATTGGGGGATTTATGGGGTAAGGTCGTCAACGTACTTGATTGCAACTCCTCTATTGTTGTAGATGTCCAAGTGTCACTATGATCGCTTACTTATTAGGTAATCGTTCGGCAAAACTCTTATTATTATTATATTTCTTTGTTTTCCTTAACGATTGTGACCTAAATCATATTTACGTATAAAATGTTAAAACCCAGTTTCAACATCAGTTATGTGTACCCACATAACAAACATAACATCACGCCTTTTATCCTCGAAGGGGTAGGCAGAGGTGCACATTATACCACTGTACAATGTAACACCCACTTTTCACTATTTATGTTATGAGTCCCATGTAATAGGGGGTGAGCCTATTGCCATATACCGGGCACAGTTCCAGACTCCGTGCTACTACTGAGATTTTTTTAAAAACCCAGTAATACTTTGAAAAACCCAGTTATATGTACCCACATAATTATTAATCATTAATCCTAATTATAAAGTACCTACATATAAATAAATTACTAGGAATGTACCCGATGTATGTATCTATGTCGCAAGACAATTCTATAATCCGACAATAATATATTTACTGCTAACCGGTCGTTTTGTAGTCGTCACCACAGTTTTTTATGCGATAGCCCGGTAAACGAGCTGACGGATCACCTAATGGTAAGCAACCAGCGCCGCCCATGGACACCTGTAACACCAGAGGCGTTACAAGTGCGTTACCGGCCTTTTGGAATTTGTAAATTTGAGGATTGTGGGGGATTTGGGGATCGGGGAGACTGGGGAGGGGTAATTGGGCCTCCAGTAACCTCACTCGGACAACGCAAGCGTTGCTTCACGTTGGTTTTCTGCTCGCCGTGGTATCACTCCGGTCGAGCCGGACCATTCGTGCTGAAGCATAGCTCTGCCACACTTAACAAGCACGGCACCAGGACGTCGTTTTTTGCTTTGGAAACAATAAAATAAGTAAGCGCGCAGGCGGCACGTTGCAGCTTTTTTATATTGTCATTATGAAATATATCATACGACATACGATTTAAAATTCATTTTTATATGACAAGTTAATTATTGGGTTGAAGTCGTGCCGGAGACGTGCTTGATAGGTGTGTGTGTGATGTGACGGACCACGGTTAACGAAAACGATCAAATTTTCGTGTTGCCGCCATCTTGGATTTACACATCCATTACGAAAAATATATTGTTATGTCAAGCAGAGTCGCGAGTGTTGATATTTGTAACTATTAACTCGTCGAGTACCGTATTTATAGACACAATTAAATAACAATAGGTTGCGGTCACCGGTGACCGCTTAGTGTTTGACAGTTTAAGGGACATAGAGGTGGATTATGACCGCTCTAATACATTACGGCCAGCTGTATTGATAATGTATAGCACCGAAAACTATATGGCAGATTTTGACGCAGACGTATTCAATCCAGCTACCTAATTGTTTAACAGTAATAAAAAAGTCTTGGATTTCTAAACGGCCAGCCGTTATGTAATACGGCGGATTATACAATTCGCCTGCGACACATAGAATTACAATTTCATTGTGTAATTGTACAAATATGGAAATTTCCACAACAATTTTAAATATTAAAACTCAATTTTTAGGATTGAAAAACCCAATAATTATAATTGTGTAAATATTGGGCTTTTGATAGCCTAGCTAAAATCAACATACCTAACTGAGTTATCTATATATATAAAAATGAAACCCGTTTCCAGTTGTCACGAACTTGAGAACGGCTAGACCGATTCGGCTGATTTTTTTTGTTATGTTTGTTATTATCAGGGGAAGGTTCTTATGACAGAAAAATATCCTGAAAATCGTACGGTAACGGGACAAAACGGGCTTGCGCGTACGAAGTCGCGGGCAAAAGCTAGTTTTTATAAATAACTATTATTCAAATACCAAAATTATAATATAACATAAAATCACGCCTTTTATCCCCGAAAGGGTAGGCAAACATGCACGTTACGGCACCTAATGCCACTGTACAATGTAACACTCACTTTTCACTATTTATGTTATGAGTCTCATGTAATAGGGGAAATGTACCATATAATTCGAAAACGAAAATTATAATATTAGGAATATTTTAAAAATACCATTACCGGAGACTCAATTACCGCCCTCCCCAATCTCCTCAATCCCTGAATCTACAACAATCCTTAAATTCCCCAAAAAGTCTGCAACGCACTTGTAACACCATTGGTGTTTATGTGCGGCGCAGATTGCTTAAAATTAGGAGTTCCTGGAGGAGGAGGACTCGTTTACCGGCTTATCTCATCAGAAATTTATCTGAGTAAAATACCCATATTATTAAAAAACATTCTATTAGTTACAAAGTTTAATAAAAAATACCTACTCCATTGTTATGAGCGCGATAATAATAGATGTAATATTTCATCATACTTTAATAATAGTTAACTTGCAAATACAAGCTTTCAAAAACATATTTATTCTTGGACACATTTTTCATGCTTTTTTAAGGGGGAAAATCATCGAATGACTGCTCCCGCCTGGGTGAGGCGGGAGGGAGTGTCAGACTCTTACTGACTAAAAACCACCCCGTTCCTTCTCCTGCACGTCGAGCCGGAGCCCCGGTAACCCGTTAGGTTCTCCGCGACTCCGAATCGGCATCAGCCCTGATGGGCCCCATCTGTGGTGGTCTGATGGCTCTTTGAGGCGCGCGCGGAACGCTCGGCGCCGTACGCTCGGGTCTGTTTCTGGTCGGACGGGGAGCCACCCATGCTCGCCGTCCGCAGGCCCGCGCTTACGGTGGCCGGAGATCGTCCCGCGACATTTGTCATGCTTAGCGTACGAACACTGAAAGGCTACTGAATTTTATTGTTTTTTATTCATTTAGTTATATTAGCCTTTTTCCTGGGAAGATTTAAAAGACAATATGTTTTTTGGAATTCTCTATTGGCAACAACATCAAACGTACGTCTTATTATCAGAATAAATAAATATTGTTACAAAAAATTTAAAAAAATAATACACACGTACATAACATCACGCCTTTTATCCTCGAAGAGGTAGGCAGAGATACACATTACGGCACTTAATGCCACTGTACAATGTAACACCCATTTCTCACTATTTATATTATGGGGTGAGCATATTACCATATAGCGGGCACAATTCCAGACTCCGTGCTACTATTGAGGTTTTTTTAAAATACTCCTGTATTATACATTATACATTACCTAGCGTATTTTGGGCGCAGATCTGTCGTTGCAGTGTTTGTTGCGACGTAACGTTGCGCCGCGTTTTATTTGTTCCATTAGCGACGTGTGGCAAATACGAGGATCGGGCTGGAAACAAACAAATTAAATTAATATTATGCCTTTACTTTACATTTCTACGGGTTCAATAGCAGGGTAATCAATTTGTGTCGTCATCCGTTAAGTTACTCGTCGATCATCTATGTTCGACGTCATCGGTCATCTGTCATGATCTCTTAATTAAAACTATCTCCTAATTAAGAGTTACTAAGCATAATGGAGCAACTATAAACAATCCACTTACATAATGATAGGTGTCACTCATAGGTTGGTAAAAATCAACATATCTCTAAGTTTCATGTATTTTATGCTTAAAGCCAAGAATAAACTAGGGGACATTAATGTGCTAAGAAATGTTTCTCTAACATTTCAAGCGAAGCCTGTCGATTTCGCTTGATATTAAACTGTCAAACACCGCGAAGACACCGGTGACCGCAACCTATTGTTCTTTATATATAGTTATATAACCGTAATATAGTTAGGTAACCGTCATTATAGACATATAATGACAGTACTCAAAGAGTTAATTGATATATAAGGCAACAACACGCGACTTATGTCCCTCCGGCTCGAGCGAGGCCCCTAGCGGCGCTCCTACTGGACACGACCGCGCCCCGCCAACAGCTTCTGCTCGCTGGGCCTGCCCGGCTACAGCGCGGCACTCGACACCGCACCCCACGAAGAGCCCGACTATTCCAACCCCTCGCCTGCTGTAGCGGGCAGCGAATGAATCGAGACAGGCATCGGCCTGGACTGTGCGTCCTCGCGCACCCAGCCGGGGACGTAGAGATGAGCCGAAGACGACGACTTATGTTTTTATAATAACTATCGTGAGACATACTAAATTAAGTAAAAACGCGGGTTACTCACGTGAATATACTGAGAAAAGCTCTACTAGTTTCGAACCACAGAGGGGTTCTTCTTCATGAGCAGCGTGAGCTGCGCGACGTCGCCGCGACCGTGAGTAACCCACGTTTTTACTTAACGACGACTTATGTTCACAACGACGTTGATATTGCCAGACATGTCAACCAAAGTCCGGCAACGTTCGCGCTACTTCACCGAACGTCGCTGATGACGCATGTCGCAGGATTATACCCTAGTGTATCGTTGGCTTAAAGATTCCCTATTGTATTACAATGAGTACCTGAGCGTGAGCATTGATCATGTCCCGCACGGACTTGGCGCGCGAGTTGTCGAGCTGGCGCCGCTGGTGCTGTATGGTGGCCGACAGCTTGTCTAGGAACGCGGGCTGCACCGGGATTGTACCTGGATATATAGAGATGAAGTCAGTCTTATGAATGATCTATAATGATTAAGGTTTTTAAATGTATTGTTTCTTTCAATGGTTTAAGTATTGAGTAGTGAAATTGGTTTTTTGTACCGTTCTATCCACATAAATAAATAAGTTTTCCACATAAATAAATTTCTACTAAAAAAATCAAGTAATACAAAATACTAACAACCTGTTAAGCATGTATTACTAACAGCGTTAACTTTTGCTCTATGACTTTCTCAAATTCATAACATTTTAGGTCAAAAAATATTGTAAAACTAGCTGTTACCCGCGACTTCGTCGCGTGAAATTATTCATATTTTTTCTTGTTAATTTATACTTTTTTGACGCGACAACGTGTTGATTGGCGAGGCGTATTTGAGAGCTAGTATGAAACGGAACGTTTATTGTCTACTCAATATGGCGACTGCGGTTCGTCTGTCAGTGTCATTAAAATATAAAAGTTTGGAATAGTTTGATTCAATAGATATCTAATAGTAGTTACCTTTCCCCTTGGCGGGAGTGTCAGCGGGCGAGATGGTAGACACAGCGCGGCGCGACGTGCGCGGGGACAGCTGCGGCGCCAGCTTCGCGCTCAGGTGGGCGATGAGGCCGCCTTCTGGAACGGTACCACCCACTGTATATATACACTGACAAGATCATGGCGCGACCTGCGCGGGGACAGCTGCGGCGCCAGCTTCGCGCTCAGGTGGGCGATGAGGCCGCCTTCTGGAACGGTACCACCCACTGTATATACACTGACAAGATCATGGCGCGACCTGCGCGGGGACAGCTGCGGCGCCAGCTTCGCGCTCAGGTGGGCGATGAGGCCGCCTTCTGGAACGGTACCACCCACTGTATATATACACTGACAAGATCATGGCGCGACCTGCGCGGGGACAGCTGCGGCGCCAGCTTCGCGCTCAGGTGGGCGATGAGGCCGCCTTCTGGAACGGTACCACCCACTGTATATATACACTGACAAGATCATGGCGCGACCTGCGCGGGGACAGCTGCGGCGCCAGCTTCGCGCTCAGGTGGGCGATGAGGCCGCCTTCTGGAACGGTACCACCCACTGTATATATACACTGACAAGATCATGGCGCGACCTGCGCGGGGACAGCTGCGGCGCCAGCTTCGCGCTCAGGTGGGCGATGAGGCCGCCTTCTGGAACGGTACCACCCACTGTATATATACACTGACAAGATCATGGCGCGACCTGCGCGGGGACAGCTGCGGCGCCAGCTTCGCGCTCAGGTGGGCGATGAGGCCGCCTTCTGGAACGGTACCACCCACTGTATATATACACTGACAAGATCATGGCGCGACCTGCGCGGGGACAGCTGCGGCGCCAGCTTCGCGCTCAGGTGGGCGATGAGGCCGCCTTCTGGAACGGTACCACCCACTGTATATATACACTGACAAGATCATGGCGCGACCTGCGCGGGGACAGCTGCGGCGCCAGCTTCGCGCTCAGGTGGGCGATGAGGCCGCCTTCTGGAACGGTACCACCCACTGTATATATACACTGACAAGATCATGGCGCGACCTGCGCGGGGACAGCTGCGGCGCCAGCTTCGCGCTCAGGTGGGCGATGAGGCCGCCTTCTGGAACGGTACCACCCACTGTATATATACACTGACAAGATCATGGCGCGACCTGCGCGGGGACAGCTGCGGCGCCAGCTTCGCGCTCAGGTGGGCGATGAGGCCGCCTTCTGGAACGGTACCACCCACTGTATATATACACTGACAAGATCATGGCGCGACCTGCGCGGGGACAGCTGCGGCGCCAGCTTCGCGCTCAGGTGGGCGATGAGGCCGCCTTCTGGAACGGTACCACCCACTGTATATATACACTGACAAGATCATGGCGCGACCTGCGCGGGGACAGCTGCGGCGCCAGCTTCGCGCTCAGGTGGGCGATGAGGCCGCCTTCTGGAACGGTACCACCCACTGTATATATACACTGACAAGATCATGGCGCGACCTGCGCGGGGACAGCTGCGGCGCCAGCTTCGCGCTCAGGTGGGCGATGAGGCCGCCTTCTGGAACGGTACCACCCACTGTATATATACACTGACAAGATCATGGCGCGACGTGCGCGGGGACAGCTGCGGCGCCAGCTTCGCGCTCAGGTGGGCGATGAGGCCGCCTTCTGGAACGGTACCACCCACTGTATATATACACTGACAAGATCATGGCGCGACCTGCGCGGGGACAGCTGCGGCGCCAGCTTCGCGCTCAGGTGGGCGATGAGGCCGCCTTCTGGAACGGTACCACCCACTGTATATATACACTGACAAGATCATGGCGCGACCTGCGCGGGGACAGCTGCGGCGCCAGCTTCGCGCTCAGGTGGGCGATGAGGCCGCCTTCTGGAACGGTACCACCCACTGTATATATACACTGACAAGATCATGGCGCGACCTGCGCGGGGACAGCTGCGGCGCCAGCTTCGCGCTCAGGTGGGCGATGAGGCCGCCTTCTGGAACGGTACCACCCACTGTATATATACACTGACAAGATCATGGCGCGACCTGCGCGGGGACAGCTGCGGCGCCAGCTTCGCGCTCAGGTGGGCGATGAGGCCGCCTTCTGGAACGGTACCACCCACTGTATATATACACTGACAAGATCATGGCGCGACCTGCGCGGGGACAGCTGCGGCGCCAGCTTCGCGCTCAGGTGGGCGATGAGGCCGCCTTCTGGAACGGTACCACCCACTGTATATAACACTGACAAGATCATGGCGCGACCTGCGCGGGGACAGCTGCGGCGCCAGCTTCGCGCTCAGGTGGGCGATGAGGCCGCCTTCTGGAACGGTACCACCCACTGTAATATACACTGACAAGATCATGGCGCGACCTGCGCGGGGACAGCTGCGGCGCCAGCTTCGCGCTCAGGTGGGCGATGAGGCCGCCTTCTGGAACGGTACCACCCACTGTATATATACACTGACAAGATCATGGCGCGACCTGCGCGGGGACAGCTGCGGCGCCAGCTTCGCGCTCAGGTGGGCGATGAGGCCGCCTTCTGGAACGGTACCACCCACTGTATATATACACTGACAAGATCATGGCGCGACCTGCGCGGGGACAGCTGCGGCGCCAGCTTCGCGCTCAGGTGGGCGATGAGGCCGCCTTCTGGAACGGTACCACCCACTGTATATATACACTGACAAGATCATGGCGCGACCTGCGCGGGACAGCTGCGGCGCCAGCTTCGCGCTCAGTGGCGGAGGCCGCCTTCTGGAACGGTACCACCCACTGTATATATACACTGACAAGATCATGGCGCGACCTGCGCGGGGACAGCTGCGGCGCCAGCTTCGCGCTCAGGTGGGCGATGAGGCCGCCTTCTGGAACGGTACCACCCACTGTATATAAACACTGACAAGATCATGGCGCGACCTGCGCGGGACAGCTGCGGCGCCAGCTTCGCGCTCAGGTGGCGATGAGGCCGCCTTCTGGAACGGTACCACCCACTGTATATATACACTGACAAGATCATGGCGCGACCTGCGCGGGACAGCTGCGGCGCCAGCTTCGCGCTCAGGTGGCGATGAGGCCGCCTTCTGGAACGGTACCACCCACTGTATATATACACTGACAAGATCATGGCGCGACCTGCGCGGGGACAGCTGCGGCGCCAGCTTCGCGCTCAGGTGGGCGATGAGGCCGCCTTCTGGAACGGTACCACCCACTGTATATATACACTGACAAGATCATGGCGCGACCTGCGCGGGGACAGCTGCGGCGCCAGCTTCGCGCTCAGGTGGGCGATGAGGCCGCCTTCTGGAACGGTACCACCCACTGTATATATACACTGACAAGATCATGGCGCGACCTGCGCGGGACAGCTGCGGCGCCAGCTTCGCGCTCAGGTGGGCGATGAGGCCGCCTTCTGGAACGGTACCACCCACTGTATATATACACTGACAAGATCATGGCGCGACCTGCGCGGGGACAGCTGCGGCGCCAGCTTCGCGCTCAGGTGGGCGATGAGGCCGCCTTCTGGAACGGTACCACCCACTGTAATATACACTGACAAGATCATGGCGCGACCTGCGCGGGGACAGCTGCGGCGCCAGCTTCGCGCTCAGGTGGGCGATGAGGCCGCCTTCTGGAACGGTACCACCACACTGTATATATACACTGACAAGATCATGGCGCGACCTGCGCGGGGACAGCTGCGGCGCCAGCTTCGCGCTCAGGTGGGCGATGAGGCCGCCTTCTGGAACGGTACCACCACTGTATATATACACTGACAAGATCATGGCGCGACCTGCGCGGGGACAGCTGCGGCGCCAGCTTCGCGCTCAGGTGGGCGATGAGGCCGCCTTCTGGAACGGTACCACCCACTGTATATATACACTGACAAGATCATGGCGCGACCTGCGCGGGGACAGCTGCGGCGCCAGCTTCGCGCTCAGGTGGGCGATGAGGCCGCCTTCTGGAACGGTACCACCCACTGTAATATACACTGACAAGATCATGGCGCGACCTGCGCGGGACAGCTGCGGCGCCAGCTTCGCGCTCAGGTGGGCGATGAGGCCGCCTTCTGGAACGGTACCACCCACTGTATATATACACTGACAAGATCATGGCGCGACCTGCGCGGGGACAGCTGCGGCGCCAGCTTCGCGCTCAGGTGGGCGATGAGGCCGCCTTCTGGAACGGTACCACCCACTGTATATATACACTGACAAGATCATGGCGCGTTAGTCCCGTATAGTCGTGGTGGCCCGGAGGTTTAAGAAGCCCACTACTCCTCGGTTCGAAACCTACCAACGGCAAGTACCAATGTGACTTTTTCCGAGTTATATGTACTTTCTAAGATTATTTAGACATCACTGACAAACGGTGAAGGAAAAACATCGTGAGGAAATCTGGACTTATAATTTCTAATTATAAGTTTGAATTGCCAACCCGCATTGAGCAAGCGTGGTGATTAATGGTCAAACCTTCTCCGTGTGAGAAGAAGTTTTGCCTAGCAGTGGGCATTTATAGGCTGTTGATGAAGATTATGTCCAAAAATCAAATCGATCACCAAACTGCCTGACCGGAGATTACGGTTTTTTTATGGAATAGGAGGCAAACAAGCAGACGGATCACCTGATAGTTAGCGATCAATGCCGCCCATGGACACCTGGAGTACCAGAGGAGGCACAGGTGCGTTTCCGGCCTTTTAAAAAGGAATACGCTGTTTTCTTGAAGGTTTGAAGGTTTCGGTACATTAAAATTAAAAGGAGTACTTTAAAATATTTTTTTGTTGCGACGTATTCCAACTGATTATAATGATTTCAATTTATCCCTGCACTTTTTATCCTTGTTAGAAAAGCACCAATAATACAAAAAAAGTAAAGAGAGTTGAAAAGTGAAGAGTTTAGATAAGAATGACTACAGGAGAAGATATAGCAGGAAAGAAAAATTGAGAAATGAGAATAGCATAGAAAAAAAGAGATAGTATAGAAGAAGGGACATTGTTCTTCTTTTCAGCTGTATTACTATTATCGAACACAGGAAGTTGCAAGCCTTTCGGTGAGTATGCGGGAGAATTCCACAACTTGATTCCCCCTGGTCCGCGTCACTCATTCATGCTTCGCATCAATCTTCCTTGTCCGCACTGCTAAAGAGTGGAATTCTTTATAATCTAATCTAATTGGAATAGGTTGCTTATGGGACGACGTGCTCCATCGTAGACCGCATCATCGCTTATCACCAGGAGAGAGCAAACGTCGGCCCTTCAAATATGAAAAAAAATCTTCTTCTCAGCCGCATCACTCTTGATAGAGTGGTCGTGCTGAACATGATGAATCCGAATCAGTTGCTGTAGCTCGTGTCACGATGTTCCACCATATCTCCCGACTAACAGATATATTTATGCACGCATGCACAAGCATTGAAGACAAGTAAGGATAATAGATTAGCAAGGATAGATGAGAAGTAGAAACAATAAGAATTGGGATGATGACAGGGTATGAAAATTAAAAATCTAATTAGTCCGTCAGTTAGGTAATGAAAAAATATTAGACACGTATTTTTTTATTTTGTCGTATAATAAAACAATACTTAGATAAAACGAATCAAAGTTTAGGAGCGAGGACTAAAACGTCATTTCTACGTATAAAATTTACATAGAAGTGACGTCACGCGACATTTCAAAACAATATATTGTAGAAAGTATTCGTTTCTATAAAAAAATAAAAAATATGTGTGTAGTGATTTAAAATAATCTACCAGACGGACATTAAAATAAAAATTAGGGATCTACCCTATTTTATTTATTTTTTAAGGGGGGAAAATCATCGAATGACTGCTCCCGCCTGGGTGAGGCGAAAAGGAGTGTCAGACTCTTACTGACTAAAAACCACCCCGTTCCTTCTCCTGCACGTCGAGCCGGAGCCCCGGTTACCCGTTAGGTTCTCCGCAACAGGCATCTACCCTATTACCCAATACACTTACGTTCCAAATGATGTCTGTCCGCGCTATGCGACCTGGCGGCGATGTTCTTGCGCAGTGCGAGCGGACTGAGCGTGTCGTGTCGAGTGTCGTGGCGCGCCATACTGTTGAAGCCGGCTATGATCTCTGAGGGTTGAGCATATATCGTGCTTTGTCCGTATTTCTTGTCTTGTTGTGCTTTGAAACCTGGGGGAAGTGAGAATAAGGTTTAATTTTAAATAGTAAGAAGAACAATAGTATGCCTTATCGGCTGAGTGGTCGCAAGTGCGTCTGCTGGACAAGGGGTTCGTTTCCCGGGTCGGGGAAAGGTTATAAAAATCCTCAGTAGTAGCACGGAGCATGGAATGTGGCCCGGTATATGGCAATAGGCTCACCCCCTATTACATGGGACTTATAACATGAATATTGAAAAGTGGGTGTTACATTGTACAGTGGAATTAAGTGCCGTAATGTGCACCTCTGTCTAGCCCTTCGGGAATAAAAGGCGTGATGATATATAAAGAAATCTGCTAAAACTGTATATTCCTTACCAGTCTGTCCATAATGGCTAGTTTCATTGGACATTCTTGGTCCGAAACTCGAGAACGAGTTGTTTTCTCCGTAGCTCGGTGTTGAGGGCGACGACCCGTGGGGAGAACCGCGACTTTCCGCGTATATACCTGCAAATAACAATAATAATAGCATTAAACAATGTTTGCTGTCAAAAACACAATAAGTTCGAATCGATTTCGATAATGACGTCAGGACACACACTACACACTAGGATTTTGTCATGTATCCTCGGTGCGTTTACAAAAAAATCACATCAATTCATCAATTTTTTTTATCTTTTCTCTGTGATTTCTACAGATCAGACCCAAATTCGGCTATACGGCTTTACATAGTCTAATATCCAATCAGTGGTTCATTATAACTGTAACGTCGTTCATCGAATTCTCGACCAGAAAAGACAATTAATTATTATGTATATCGGATTGCTCATGTAACTATTTGACGAGGAACTCGATTAGTTTCACTGACAGAGCAACAGCTAGTAGCAGCGCGACAGTCATTGCGTCGTGTCGCAGAATGCTACTCATGAATATGAGCCTCTAGCATGGCTTGAAACTAGCTCTAAGCCGGTAAACGAGCTGACAGATCACCTGATGGTAAGCAATCGGCGCCGCCCATGGACACTAGAAACACCAAGGCGTTACAAGTTACCGGCCTTTTGGGAATTGGGATTTTGAGGATTGTGGAGGATTCGGGGATTCGGGAGACGGGGACAAGGGAGGCGGGTAATTGGGCCTCCGGTGACCTCACTCAAACGACGAAACACAACGCAAGCCTTGCTTCACGTCGGTTTTCTGTAAGGCCGTGGTATCACTCCGGTCGAACCGACCCATTCGTGCCGAAGCATGGCTCTCCCACACTTAGCATTACATGAGTAAGCCCTCTCACGAAACGAATAAAATAAATAAAGAAAAACCAAATAATAATAATAATATGTACAAAAATCACTCACCGGCATTAATCAAATCCGAATTGGAGCTATTCAAGCTATTCTTCCGAACGTACATAGAATTCTCGACATAGGCCATTATCTTATGTCCAGTCTGTCCATAAATGGGGTTCAGATTGCCTGTACTGTTCAGGCTCGTTGAAGATGAGAAGTTGCTTTTCGCCTGTTGGAACGTTGAAAGGGATGGCGTCGTAGGCGATTGTGGCTGGGTCTGATTTTGGTGAAGTTGTTGCAGATTGCGTCGAACCAGGCCGGGGGATGCTGGCATGTGTTTTAGTTCGGTTAGTTGCTTCACTGTTTCTGCTACGTTGGAGTGAGCTGGAAGAAGTATGTTTAGTTGGTTTGTGAAGTTGTGATAGAAAGAATGGAGAGGGTTGTGTTTTTCGATTTTGATAATTATTATTATCTATTTATGGACGACAGCATGTTTTGTTGTTTTGTTCAGCTCTTTTACAAACTTTTCAATTTTGTAAAATAAATATAACCAATGCTACTTCTTACTTAGTAGATCAGCTACCTGCCAATAAAAGTCTTACAAAATCGGTCCAGCTATTACAGAGATAAGCCAGTACAAATAGACAGACAGACAGACGAAATTGTAAAACTGTGGTCCATGTAGTAAAAAGCGGTTATTTTAATATTCCAATTCTATTTATCTGTTTAGATGTATAGATATACAATATGTAATTATAAGACATCACATACTAGAAATGACTGCATAAATAATACAGATCAAATTGTACCTGTATACCTTAGGGGCAATAAAAAAGAAAAAGTGTAATACTATAAAAAGTATGCATGATGAAGTGAATACTGAATAGCTTACTGAAGATCTAATGTCTAACAAATAAAAAACTAGAAGGAAATTCTCAAAATTTAAAGAAGTGCTTTTAAATTTTGCATGCATTATGTTCAGATCCATAAACTTTGTTATCTTATAAATAATCTTATTGCTCAAGAAATAACATTCACATTCTAATGTTAACTAATGTAAATTTACAAAACTATTTAAACTAAAACCAATCTTATTATCAAACTAGCTGTTGCCCGCGACTTCGTCCGCGTAGAATAATGACTTCTGGCAGAATTTAGGCTTTTGAATTAGTTTTTATCAAGGGATATTCTACGGTAATGAAGGTCGTCAGAATTGATTCAGTCCCATAGGCGATAGTGTGATAATTAGCCTATGTGTTGACCCGACCTGTTAGTAATATTCATGCAAAATTTGAAGTAAATCCATGCAGTACTTTGTGAGATCATCCCGGACATACATACAGACAAACAGACAAAAATACCAAAAAACATATTTTTGGCTTCGGTATCGATTGCAGATCACGCCCTAAGTATTCTTTAAAAAAAATATTCAATGTACAATTTTGACTTTTCTACGATTATATTATACTAGCGGCCCGTACGGGGGGACTTAAGATTTTTTACATAGTTTTACGTTTTATTTATATTTATTCTCAGTTTTTTTTAGCGACCTGCCCTCCGTTGTCGATGTCGCGTCTTAAGGTAACCGATTGAACAATTCAAAAGTTATCTAGAGCAAACTTTTATAAGGATTGAACCATTCATTAAAACGATTGTTATGGGTAAACTATAAAAGGTAGACATATGCTCTCGCGGACTTTTTTAAAAATAATGTTAAGATAAACAATTCATCTATAGAAAATTTTTGTATAACTTTAACTATATGCTCAGCGCACGCCACGGAAGGCCTCAGAAACGATACTTTTCACCCGTTTTTAAAACATTTTTGGTTACTGCTCCACAACTATAGGACCTAGCGTGATATTATATAGCCTATGTTACTTCTGAATAATGCAGCTTTCGAATGGTTAAAAAATTATTGCAATCGGTTCAGTAGTTTTTGAGTTTATTCATTATAAACATACAAAAATACAAATCTTTCCTCTTTATAATATTAGTATAGACAACGAAACCACATTTTGCTATAACATTATCGAAACACTGTGATTATCAAAATAAATCTTGAATTAAAAAGAAATTGAAATAAAGTACTGAAGTTAATGCATGCAAAACTGAACTTAATCTAGATAGAAATAGTGCACAAAGTTGAATACAGTCATATTCACCGGTGTCGCCGTCGGGTTGAAGCAGGAAAGCAGGTGGAGGCGGCAGGTTATCGGCCTCATTCGACGATAGTTGAGGACTTTGTGTATTCTGTAAATGAAAATAATCCTTAGATGGTGGAGATAAGGTACTTTATTCAATGGAGAAGTACATATGAACAGGATGTTCTTGTCATAACGTTCGCATTGTTATAGTGTTGGGGTAGTTCGGATTAATAAGGTCCGATTTGCAAATAATTACGTTTAATAAAAAAATAGTTAAAATCGATAATTAATGTGTTTAACTGGTTACATAAAACGTCACTGGCAATGTCACTGAATGAGGAAACGACTGGCTGGATCGGATTATGAATTAGTAATGTCGTTATCTCACGGGATAACAGGCAATGCCCCGGGTGGTCACATACACGTTTAAAGTGCGTACAATGTATAACAGCGTGAAGGTATGTATGCACTTATTCAGAAAACCTAATGCCTGGCTTCACCATACAAATACAACCTAGCCACAGATTTAAAAAAAATCCTATACTGTTAAACGAGCAATTCTTGTGTATTATCAATGACCTAGGAAATGGCTCGACCGATTTACTTGAAATGTTGTATCCAGTTGTTTTCGGGGGCGATAAATCGATCTAGCTAGGTCTTACTTTCAGAAAATGTTCGTGTCATCGATTTCGTCGTCGAAATTTTCGAATCGTTTTGTCTGTGTTTTTATTAAATAAAAATCCTTGTTTGAATACAAAGTTTAATTTCAAAGTCAACTTTAATTTCCATACAATTTTCTTTTTTTAATTATGAACTAAAAACACGGATCAAAGGTCGGTCATCCAGGTACTATGTAGAAATATCTTACCTGCACGTAAGGAGGTCGTTGAGGCCTAGATATGGACGAGGAGCGTCGCACCGGCGGCGGCGGCTTGCCCAACGAGCTGGATGAGCCGCGGCGGGACCATACTGTCGCTGTAAAGAAGAAACACTTATTAACCCTTTGAGTACCGTCATTATAGACACAATTAAAGAACAATAGGTTGTGGTAACCGGTGTCCTCGCGGTGTTTGACAGTTTAATATAATGGGGGCAGTTTGTTATATTTCAGTTATAGGTAATTTAAACATAAAACTTTAGCACATTCCATCTTCCGATAAAAAAATTTAGATACAAAATTAACATATACAGCATCAAGCCTTTCATCCCCAAAGGGGTAGGCAGAAGAGCATATTACAGTACTTAATGCCACTGTACAATGTAACGCTCATTCTTCACTATTTATGTTATGAGTTCCATGTAATAGGCCCTATTGCCATATACCAGACAAAATTCCCGACTCAGTGCGACTTAGATTTTTTAAAACCCTGTAATACTTTGCCCGACCCGGGAATCGAACCCGAGACCTCTTGTCCGGCAGTCGCACTTGCGACTACTCGACCAACGAGACAGCCGTGAAATTGAACAACCAGACAGAAACAACAATTAGTGGATCACATAAAACGTTGGTCGCTTCGGATCCAGCAGCCGGTTGCCCAGCCAATAACTGTACTTATAAAATTTTTGAGTTCAATAAAGTGTTTCAGCTTGGTGTTTGGTTGACAACATTCACCATTTTCATCAAACCTTTGAGTTACATAACATTTTAACAAAAGCTTCAAACCAAAGCATTACTAAATATTAAAAAAAAAACAAATACATGCACACTACAATGACCTTACCAAATAAATACTTATTCATTTATTTTTAATTGCAGAATCTTATTCTATTCTCCATATTTATTATTTCACTACCAAACCTATAAATGCCCACTGCTGAGCAAAGCCTCTCCTCACACGGTGACAGTTTGAGCATTAATTACCACGCTTGCTCAATGCGGGTAGGCGATTTCAAACTTATAATTAGAATCACGATGTTTTCCTTCACCGTTTATCAGTGGTGTCTAAACAATCTTAGAAAGTACGTATAACTCGGAAAAAGTCACATTGGTACTTGTCGTTGGTAGCTTGCGAACCTGCACTCTCATGCATTATAATTGGGGTTCTTATGCCTCCGGACCACCATGACATTTCATCCTATTTACCTACCTAAATATAATATTTAAACCACCACCTAAGCTAACCTAAAAAGACCAAAATCTTACCAGACATGGATACAGGCCGCCTTTTAGGCACAGCTGGTTTCTTCCCAATAGTCGCAAAGGCCGGAGTCTCACTCGCTTCGTCCAAAGATCGGACAGCTTCTTCTAAGCTGCCGAGGGAGATAGAGAAACTCTCTCTCGCAGCTGCCACAGATGACTCACTCTCTCTTCGAAGAGTTACGATCTCCGAGTCGACTGGTGTAAGCAAATGAGCATGCAAAGCGGGTTGTGAGATAAAATTAAAATAAAAAGGGACTTTTAGGTAGAAATGAGGTTTTAATTAAAATAAAAATAGATTTGTGGAATAAAAAATTGGGTTTTAAATTAAAATGGGATTTTAAAATTGTATAAAATGTAATAGTGATAGAATTGTTCTCTTTTTTTTTCATCACAAACTTGATGGTTTAGTGTCTATGATAAGTATAGACTATAATAAGTATCTATAATTTCTTTAATTTTTAAATTAATTATATTATCTATAATTTTATAACAATAAAATTCCACCAATGGTACATTACAAAATTCATTTAATAATGTATTTTTGCAATGTATATTTGACAGTTTTGTTCAAAACAAAAAAGACTTTATATTAACAAAAAGAGAACACAAAATATAACTAGCAACAAAAACAGACAAACATCTAATAAACAAAATTCACACTGAACATTCCTAATTGAGTATAGATCTTATGCATATGGACACAAAGACTACAACTACACAACAATGCTCATCTAAGGAATGAATACATTAGAGCAAGTGGTATTGTTTTTTTTATGGAATAGGAGGCAAACGAGCAGACGGATCACCTGATGGTAAGCGATCAGCACCGCCCATGGACACCCGCAACACCAGCGGAGTCATAGGGGCGTTGCCAAAATTGAATTGTAAATTAATATAACATCACGCCTTTTGTCCCCGAAGGGGTGGGTAGGCAGAGTTATGTTATGAGTCACTATTTATGTTATGAGTCCCATGTAATAGGGGGTGATCCTATTACTATATACCGGGCACATTTCCAGACTCCGTGCTGCTACTGAGTTTTTTTTTTAAAACTCAGTAATACTTTTGGCCGACCCGACAATCGAACCCGAGACCTCTTGGTCTCGGGTTCGATTGCCGATGCCGAGGGCCGAGTGACTGCCGGGCCCTTGCCCGGCAGTCGCACTTGCGACCACTCGGCCAACGAGACAGTCATTTGTAAATTAATATTGTAAAATTGAAGTTTCATAATACAGTTACTCAGGCACATGGTAGTGCGGTCGGTTTCAGGGTCAGGATAAGTTGCCTTAACCGTTTGATCCGAGAATGAGACCCTCGTACTCAGCAGTCCCATTCTTCATCATCTACATCAGTTTTCAGCTATGAATAAATATAGCCCTATATTTTACCGGGATATTATGGTAGCGCAACCTATCCCCGCTATCAACAAAATATATACAGCTATGTAGAGTTATTCAACTGGTGTCGGCTTGGTTGCGCTACCAGCTTACACATGTTAGCAGAGGTGACTGGTTGCATGACAGACATGGTGCCCGGTGAAATATAATCCTAACACTTTAAGTTCATTTAATCAATATAAAAACAACAACACCGCTCTAAAGCATTCCATAGCTATACAAATCTAAAACCTACACTTCACACATAAGACAACAAATCGCTTGCACACGAACACACTAACAGAACGTTGCATACTAAATCAACACTTAGTACTACAGTTATAAGGTTCAAAATAGCTTACCGTCAGCATGTTGGACTTGGTGTTGTATGGCGTGGTCTTCGGCTGCGAAGGCGCCCTGGCTTCCATAACCGCTCGACGATTCAAGGGAAGATTCGCTTGCACTACTTTCTGAGCAAACCTGGAATGGGAGGAAATTGGTAAATTAATACTGAAAGGTCAAAGCCAAAAGTTGCCCCCCCCCCCCCCCATAACCCCAAACACTCAATCTTTAAATCCCAACCCTAAGTTTGACATCGCACTTGTCACTCTCTTTGGTGTTCCAGGTGTCCATGTGCGGCGCTGACTGCTTATCATCAGGTGATCCAGCTGCCCTTTTCCCGCCCTACATATAAAAAAACTCAATTTTCTGTAAAGTGATAAATTAGCAATGAACATTAATTTTCTAGCCAAGGCCTACTTTATAGAGTTTAAATGCAAGCACCTTATTTAATTTTGGAGACGACCGTAAGTTATAAATTATTTACAAAAGAATACCCTTTAATCGATCCAGAATACCTTAAAAGAATAAAAAGAAATTAGAAGGTAACTGAATAAAAATTGTTCATAGAAATGTTTTTACGCACACAACTCCTGAACGACTGCACCGAATAGGGTACTCACTGAAAACTCGAATCAGACAGAACGCGTGTAAAGGACATAGTTTTCATAATATTTTGCAATATAACAATGAACTACGCTATTAATTCAAGAGGAAGTACCTCGCTTAGGTATTATAGCACTCGCTATTAGTCAGTTACATAATATTATGTTACAAGTCCTAATGAATTGTATCAGGAAGTGATTCTATTACCAAAATAATGTTACACTTTTCCAAAACACACAATATGTATTAGGTATTGACAATTATGTAAAACATCCCATATAGAGCGATAATTAACTAAGAAATATGAGGGTTACACAGTACTACGTAAAATACACAGGAAAAGAGATATTGTAAAAAACGGTTTTTAGCCGCCATTTTTCAAAGATGGCAACGCGAGCGGCGCACGTATAAAGGTGCAAAATGGAAATCGAAAAGAGCACATCTATTGCCGGAATACTGAAACGTTACTCAATTTTAAGTCGTGCTCAAATATCGTGCCATCTCTGTCATTTTACAAAGAATTTGTAGAGATAGAACTATACTTAAGCACGACTTAAAATTGAGTAGCGTTTCAGTATTCCGAAGAAAGTCTACAAAATCTTCCGAAAATATTCCGAAGAAAGTCGATTTTGTAAACTCCTGGAAAATATTCCAGGTAAAACTGCCAAATCACTGAACTAATAGGATTTTTTTGAAACTTTAAACAATATTTAAAGCTTTTACTGCAAACAGAAAACTGTTGAAGGCCAGTCCTCCGCTAACGTCGGTCACCGGTGACTCCCATGGCTTTTAACGTGTTAATTGTCAAAAAAGTTTTGACAGACAAATAGACACATCCTCGCATCTATCGTCCATTAGGATAGACGGAGACAGAGAGATGTCAAATTATTTTTGGCACGATTTTAGCATACCTCTGCCCCGCTTCATTCATTAAGGTCATAATACACTTAACAAGCATGGCACCGGCACGGCTCCGACACGGCTCCGGTACAACGTTTTTTGTTTTGGAAACCATACAAAAAGGTTGTAAGCGCGATGTCGGCGCGCGGGCGGTGCGCTTACACCTTTTTTATATTGACGTTATGAAACATACCATACGACATTCGATTTAAAGTTCACATTTAAAATGACAAGTTAATAGCTGGGTTAGAACCATGCCGGTTAAGTGATATGAACTTGAATCTATTCATGCATGCACCAATCTTATATATATAAAAGAAAGTCGTGTTAGTTACACCACTTATAACTCAAGAACGGCAGAATAGATTTGGCTGAAAATTGGTAGCTTAGAGCCAGGAGACCGACATAGGATATTTTAACCAATTTTTTTTTTACTTTTTTCCGAAAATCACGAACGGGGACGGGAAAAAATGAGATTACGCGTACGAAGTCGCGGGCAGAAGCTAGTTTTCACTAATTTACGATGTTCAAAAGAGATGTTCACTAAACTGCAGTCTGTGTTAGTATACTAATAATTTGTCAAGTCAAAGCATTTATTACAATTAATCCACTTACAAGCACTTTTGAACGATAAAATAAAATTATTCGTCAGTAAAGCACCAGTGAAGCTAGGTGCTCATTTCAAATGTAATTGCTTATGACGAAGAATGAGCAAAAATAATAACCAGCCAGTAATATTATGAGATCAAATCTCTCAGTCACATGATACTATGGACAGGATGAAAGAAGAAAATTTGAAACAAAATCTCACAATTATCGAATAGAATCGTCTCCGTTCCCATTATTGTCCAAAAAGAATTCATTAAAGTTATGAAAACATAATGCACAAGAACAATTATACGTAATAAACAAAAATGTGTCGTAAAACTGTACGAACAGAATTGAAATTCTACCATCGCATATTTCACTTTGGACTTATAACGATCTTCATGGAAAATCAAACTCTATCTTGACATACTTAAGTTATATGTTCCTTTGTAGTTTATATGCTTTGGGTCTTAATGTATGCTCGTTCAAGCAAGCAACGTGGTATTTAATCAAAGTTTTTCATATTGAACAATGATATGTACGATAGAGTAAATGACGCGGTGCAATCGATTTTGATACTTGCATTATTCTATCTGAAAGTATATTTTTGAATAATTTCAATACGTAAATCGTATAGGGATGGAATACGGTATTCGTCTTCTAATAAATCTGAACATTTTAAACTGCGATTTCCTACTACTGCTTAGCATTATGGTTATGTCAAATTACCTAATTACGATTCATTTAAAATTGTCTCAAATGTAGGAGAGCCATGCTTCAGCACGAATGGGCCGGCTCGACCGGAGTGATACCACGGCCTCAAAGAAAACAGACGTGAAACAACGCTTGTGTTGTGTTTCGTCGTGTGGATGAGTTTACCGGAGACCCAAATACCGGTAAGGTAGGGCTTGTGGGGATTGGGGACATTGGGGAGTCGTAACGCCTCTGATGTTTCGGGTGTACGAATGACGCCGATTGGTTACCATCAGGTGATCCGTCAGCTCATTTGGCAGCACATTCCATAATAACCTCCTCCTTTTTTGAAGTCGGTTAAAAAAATCCTCCAATTTAGATGAGGATAATAATTCAGCAGTGAATTTAAAAAAAAATCAAGTCATACCGTCGAATACTTTGGACTAATTTTCCTATAAGATACAGATAACGTCAATCCTCACTTTATCCGTGACTTTAGTTTATTAAACTTTGAACCTTACAAGTTTCTGTTAAAGGTTGAAAATCTATTCAAGAATGAGAGTAGCTTGATTTATCGGCTATTATGCTAGTCCATTAATGGTTAAAATCCGATACACTGTGTACTTCTGGTTAGCTATTTCATGGGAACACAATGGCGTTGTTATCTAAGCTACATGGCAACATTGTTTAGTAAACAAGTTCCTACCTGACTTTGTTTCAAAGTTATATCTACAGACATCCTACTAATAATAAATGTAAAAGTTTATATACGTCGTGGTGACCCGAAAGATTTACCCGTCCACTTCTCATGCATGAGAGTGCGAATTCGAAACCTATCAACGGTAAGTACCAATGTGACTTTTTCCGAGTTATATGTACTTTCTAAGATTATCTAGAGACCTCTGACAAACGGTGAAAAAAACATAATGTGGAAACCTTATAATTTCGAATTATAAGTTTTCGATTGCTAACCCGCATTGTGCAAGCGTGGTGGTTAATGCTCAAACCTTCTCTGTGTGAGAAGAGGCCTTTAGTCATTATAGGCTATCGATGATGATGATAAAATTTGGTATGTATGTTGGTTTGTTTGTTCCTCCTTTACGTCAAAACATATAAGAAAGAAAGTAAAAAGAAATCATTTATTTAGCACCAGGCACTTCATCATCACCAGCCTAAGACGTCCACTGAATGAGACTCGACTAGAGTATCAGCGCGATAGTCGCCGCGTCGCGAGTCGGGGAATGCTGCTCATGAATATGAGCCTCTAGCATGGCTTGAAACTAGTCGACTTCCTCGTCAAATTATTTCGTGAGTAAGCCGAAAACATAATAATTAATTTAGGTAGTATGTCTCACGAAAGTTTCAATATAAAGAATAAAGATAAAAAATAAAAAAAAACAAATCCTTTAAATTTATATATATATAAAAATCGGAAACCCGTTTCCCGTTGTCACGCCATAACTTGAGAACGGCTAGACCGATTTAGCTGATTTTTGTTTTGTTGCGTTTGTTATCGTCAGGAGAAGGTTCTTATGACAGAAAAAAGTCCTGAAAATTCTACGGGCATGGGAGGAACGCGATTGCACGTACGTAGTCGCTGGCAGAAGCTAGTAATAAATAAAAACAACCCATCGGGATTCTTTACTCTGTCAATTTCTCTTCAACGATCAAGACTAACCAATCCTTACACACATAACGATCTCATTGACGGCTAAGCAATATAACTCGACATTGCATTAAGATCACGTAACAAAACGCAAGCAGTCGTGTTTCATCGTGCTAACAGAACTATACAATAAATTGAGAATTGATAATGGTGACTGTGGCTTTTAAAGTATTGATTAACGTTTTGTGAGTATGAATTTGAATCTTGTTATTAGGTTCTACAACTATATATCCTCTCGCGCGCCTCTCGTACACACGGGTATACGCGCGTTCTCGTACAGACGGGTAAATATTTTAATAGAAAAGCGAATTAACTATTCTGTTCAATCAAGTAAAGAACGGGTTGCAAACTTGAAAATATACGTCACAGAAAAAATATCCAATCGGTGCTCGTTTCTCGTACACCCGTGTGTACAATTGCGCGAGAAACACGCGAGAGGATATAGTAGTGCGACTGTTGGTACCGTTCGGAGCCCGTGGCAAATTTATCACATCGGACCTAATAAAAAACAGACAAGTTCGGAAGCCTGCCTCGTATGATCGCAAGTGCGACTGGCAAGGGGCAAGGGGTCTCGAATTCGATTCCCAGGTCGGGTAAAGTGTTAATGGGGTTTTTCAAAAAAATCTCAGTTGTAGCACAGAGTCTGGAATTATGCCCGGTATATTGCAATAATATATATTAATATATA